AAAGTTGGTTTTCTAGAAACATTAGTGTTGAACCCATTAAGGTTATTCACTTTTACATCAAGAAATGACAATGAATTATCCACTTCACCTGTAATTTGATTTATAGTTCATTCTGGCAGTTTAATTTTGTTTAGTTTACCATGTCTTTGCCTTTTCTTACTTATTTTAAGTCTTGACATTGTAAATTTGTATAATCTTATTTAGAATATATAATACATTTTTTGGTATTTAGATTTGTTTAATATTTGAGTTTTTATAAGATTTTGGTTAGTGCTTTATAATTGTCGCTTATTCTGCTTGCATTTTATATACAATTTTTGTAGAAATGTAGTCATTATATGAATATTTGTAATAGTGTTTAGTATCTATGTGTTAACTAACAAGTTTCACTTATGTTGATCACTTCGCGTAAGTTTAATAGTATGGTTTGTTTCAGTAGTTATAAAATTCCTCTTGTAATTTAATGGATTTTTTAATTAGCTTTTATCTATGTGACAGTTAATAAGTTTTATTTGTATTGATCACTTTAAGTGCGCTTAAGTGTTTTGTTTTTTAATCATTTACCTTTCTTTGATAGGCAATTGTATTCAGAATGAGTTCGTTGTTTACCAGTTATTTGACTGTGATTTCTGTTTTTTTTTCTTTTAGATCTGATGATGAATACGAGAAGTATTCGAAACGTTATGCATTTTAAAGTAAAGAATCTGAAACAAGATGTTCAGTATATCCCTGGTTTTCCTATTCATCTTAAATTAAGATTCCCGAAGGGAACATCGATCATAAATATTTTAATAAAACGATACGGAAGACCTGTAGTTACTTTATACAGAAGAATAGAAAAATTGGATATCGCAGTTAAGAAGGCTCACTTGGATTTGGAATTTCTACAAACCTGTAAGGTGCATCGTTTGGTCCCAAGATTCCTTGGGTTTAAAGTGTATTCCGACAAATTTGCGTTAACAAGTGAAGTTAATTCTTGGTTGTTAAGATTGTTGGACTTTGAAATTTCTGAAAAGCAGAAGCGGGTAAATAAGTTAAAAAGTGAATTGGATGTGAACTTGGAGAAATTCAAGATCTTGGTTTCCTGGGTTGATTTTGCATCCTTAAAATGTAAACATGAAAATTATAATGATTAAAGGGTTGAAAAATGTAGACTTATTCACAGGAAGAAAATGCGTAACTTGGGTATACCTTCATTTAATTCGGTAGACCCTGATAAGGTGGTTTTTAATTTTTCAAAGAAAATTTTGTCTCCCATTGAGAAAGAACTTCTCTCTCTGGAGTTAGACTTCGGCTTGACGTGTCAAAAACCTAAATTTGTTAACCATTTTTTAGGTTTTGAGCAGTTATGTAATACATTGAAAACTTGCACCATAAGGACTGGTATAAATTATAGTTGAACCAATATCATCAGTACTGTTTCTTCCTTAGCACATGAAGACCAGGCTCTGTAGCCTCCGCTGCGTTGGGCCCCGACATTGTTCCTCCTTTGACTCTCCTGACTTCTTCCCCCAGCTCCCCTCCCTCCTCTGTGGTTGGGTCGAGCCTCAAGTCTCTCGTTGTGACTACTGCGCCTTTTGTCCCCTCTCTCTCTGGGGGTTCTCAACGCCGTCCGCGCCACAACCGCACTCGCTCAATTCCTTCCCATACTGATGCGTGTCAGGCCTTATTTGGTCCTGCTTCATGGGCCAAATACTTTGATATCCTTCCTCTTGATTCTGCGCCTCCTGACGATTTCTCCTCCATCGGCATCTTGTTGATTCCGTGGATGCTTCTGTTACCTTCAACCCTACTCGTCTCGGTACTCGTGTCGTTGCTGCTCCTTTTCAGGATGCAGCTTCCCGCTTGGCTGACTTATCCTGCCCCTTTTCAGGATGCAGCTTCCCGCTTGGCTGACTTATCCTGCCTTGGCGAGATCCCTGTTCGGGTCTCAAAGAACGCTCGGTTGAATGCCAGTGTTGGCACTATTCTCCTCCCGCCCCATGTTGAGACTGGTGTTTGGAATCTGCAGGACTGCCACGCTGACATTCGGCATATCCTTGATGCCCAAGGCCATTCTGTCCTCCAGGTAGACTCGCTTACTCGTCCCCCTAGTCGTCGTCGCCGTCAACCCCTTCGGGTTGTGAAGATCACCTTTGATGGTAGGACCCTTCCATCCTCCTTCATTCTTGCTGGTGCCTGGTGCTCTCTCCAGAAGTATATTCCTTCTCCTCGGCTTTGTAACAGGTGCTGGAGGTTTGGGCATAGTGCCCTCCGCTGCTCTGGGACTGTCTCCCTCTGTCCTTTGTGTGGGGGTGAAGGTCACTCAGTCAGAGTGCACTTCTCCCCAGGCTCGCTGCCTCAACTGCGGTGAGGCCCATCCTACCTTCTCCCGTGCCTGTATCCATTACAAGCTTGAGGCAGCCGTCCTCAACTTGAAGCACCGGGAGCATTTATCTTTTCCTGAGGCGAGGCGCCAGGTTCGCCGGCTCCCGCCTTATGCTAACGTCTCTTATGCTCGCGTGTTGCGCTCTTCCTCTCCTTGTCCTTCCCACCTTCCTCAGACTCACAACCGTTTCCGGGCCTTGGACCCTGATACGCCCACTGCCCCCTCCTCTGTTCCTTTGAGTTCTGTCCCGAAGGGTCCCCCTCCTGGTCCTCTGTCTGGGGTTCCCCTTCTTTCTACCAGGTCTTGTCATGTCTCCTGTGCCTTCTTCCAGGTCTTGTCATGTCTCCTGTGCCTTCTTCCTCGTCTCCCTCCGATCCTTCTTCCCATCCTTCTCCTCCATCTGTTGACTCACCCCGCCGCCTGTCGGTGCAGGCTGACGTCCATCGCTCTCCTAACGGCCATCGTGTGTGCTCTCGTTCAGCTTCTCCTGTTGAGACGCTGGAATCCGTTGCCCGGTACGTAATTGCTGGGACACTGGTCTCTTTAAGTCAGAAGCGTAAGCCTGGCTCCTCTCTTTCCTCCTCCCTGGCGGGTAAGAAGGCTTCGCTTTCTTCCTTCTTCCTACTACTGGCTCTATTGCTCCTTCCCCTCCCATTTCAGTGGTTGCGTCCCCTGTTCCTTCTATGGAGGTTTCTTTGGCCCCTGCTTCCCTCTGGGTCGCTGCCCTTGCTGAGGTGCTTTCCCCTCTTTCTACTCCCCCTCTTCCTGCTGCTGTCCTCGACTGCTCCTCTCCATTGTCTCCTCCTCTTCCTCCTCCCCCTCCAGACCCCGCCCACCCACCTCTGGTCTGTTCTCCTGCTTCCTTCCCTCCATCTTTGCTCAGTTTACCCATGCCCCATAACCCTGACTTTGCTGACCCTGATCCCAACCCTGATATTTTTTAACGTGCTATGTTGCTCTTTCACATTTGTTTCTTCTTGTTCTCTGTTGTTGTCCTTTCTCTTCTCGTCGATGTCTATTCTTCAATGGAACGTTCGAGGTTATTATGCCAATTTCCTCGAACTCCAACTTCTGATTTCGCGGTTTTCGCCCCATTGTGTCTGTCTCCAGGAGCCGATGCTTGGTGCTCGTCCTGGTCGTTTTCGTGGCTATTCCTTTCTCTTCCCCCCCCCCCTAATAATTCTTAATATAATTAATTCTCTCCTAATTCTTCTGCTCTCTTGATTTGCTCTGGTGTTTCCTTTGTCTCCTTACTTTTTCCTTCGCCTCTCCATTGTTCTGCTGCTCATATCTTTGTGGGGAAATGGTACACAGTTTGTTCCATTTATCTCCCCCCGAGTGTCCCGCTTTCTCTTCCTGATCTGAAACACCTCCTGGACTCCTTGCTGGAGCCTGTGCTCCTGCTGGGTGATTTCAATTGTCATCATTCTCTTTGGGGTGATGTTCTGACGAATACCCGAGGTCGCCTTCTTGAGCCGTTTATCCTCTCTTCTTCCCTGTCTCTTCTGAATTCTGGTGAGCCCACTCATTTGGACTCTCGGACTCGCACCCTTTCCTGTCTTGATCTTTCTGTTTGCTCTTCTTCTCTTTACTTAGATTTCACGTGGCAGGTTCTTGATGACTTCCATGGCAGTAACCATTTCCCCATCCTTGTTTCCTTTTTCTCTTTTCGCCCTTCCCTCTCCTTCCCTAGGTGGCAGTTTACTAAAGCGGACTGGAACCTATTTACCCTCAGTGCTGCTCTCTCTGACCTCTCCCTTCAACCTCTCCATCGCGCTCTCCTCCTTTTTCATGACACTGTCTTCGACGCTGCCCTCCGCTTCATTCCTCGCTCTTCCTCTCGGGGTCCACGGAAGTGCGTTCCCTGGTGGAATGCGAACTGTGCTCGGGTGTCTCATACTTATTGGGGAGCGGATAGGCGCACTCTCCTTGCTTTACATTCCTCTCTCTCGTCCTGTCTAAGCTCGATTATGGTTGCCCTGCTTACTTGTCTGCTTCTCCTTCTAGTCTTCGCCGTCTTGATGCTTTGCACCAAACTGGGTTGCGCCTCAGTTCTGGTGCCTTTCGTTCGACTCCCGTCCTTAGCTTGTATGTTGACACTGGCTTCCTGTCTCTCCAGGACCGCCGTGATCGTTACTGTCTTCGCTATCTTGCGTGGTCCTTACAACATCCTTCCTCTCGCCTCTGTTGTGCTTTAACTTTTACCCCTCCTGCGGTTCCTGTTCCTCGTCACCACCTCCCTCTTTCTGTCCGGTTATCTCGCCTACAGGATTCTCTTTCCGTTGGTGTTTCTAATGTTTCTCCTAGTGTTGTTCCTTCTTTGCCCCCATGGAGAGTCCTCCTTCCGCAGTTTTGTACGTCCTTGACCCGCATCACTAAAGCTTTTACCCCTCCTATGGTTCTAAAACGCCTTTTCCTTGAGCACTTTTCTTCTCACTCCCGCTCTGTTTCTGTCTTCACCGATGGGTCTAAGTCTGCGGACGGTGTTGGCTACTCTGTTGTTTTTCCTGATTGCACTTATATGTGTCACTTACCTCCGGAGACTAGCATCTTTACAGCGGAGCTTTATGCTATTCTCTATGCTCTTCGTCTCCTGCTTTCTCGTTATCAGTCCTTCCTTTCTCGTTATCAGTCTTCCAGTGTGTCGTCTCCCAGACGACACACTGGGAGACGACACAGACGACACTCTGGGAGACGACACTCTGGGAGACGACACTCTGGGAGACGACACTCTGGGAGACGACACGCTGGGAGACGACACATACGACACACTGGGAGACGACACACTGGGAGACGACACAGACGACACTCTGGGAGACGACACACTGGGAGACGACACTCTGGGAGACGACTCAGACGACACTCTGGGAGACGACACTCTGGGAGACGACTCAGACGACACTCTGGGAGACGACTCAGACGACACTCTGGGAGACGACTCAGACGACACTCTGGGAGACGACTCAGACGACACGCTGGGAGACGACTCAGACGACACGCTGGGAGATGACACAGACGACACGCTGGGAGACGACTCAGACGACACTCTGGGAGACGACTCAGACGAAACTCTGGGAGGCGACTCAGACGACACTCTGGGAGGCGACTCAGACGACACTCTGGGAGACGACATAGACAACATTCTGGGAGACGACATAGACGACACGCTGGAAGACGACTCAGACGACACGCTGGGAGATGACACAGACGACACGCTGGAAGACGACATAGACGACACGCTGGAAGACGACTCAGACGACACGCTGGGAGGCGACACACTGGGAGACGACACGCTGGGAGACGACACAGACGACACACTGGGAGACGACACAGACGACACGCTGGGAGGCGACACACTGGGAGACGACACGCTGGGAGACGACACAGACGACACACTGGGAGACGACACAGACGACACACTGGGAGACGACACAGACGACACACTGGGAGACGACACGCTGGGAGACACGTTGGGAGACGACACGCTGGGAGACGACACATACGACACACTGGGAGACGACACGCTGGGAGACGACACAGACGACACACTGGGAGACGACACGCTGGGAGACGACACAGACGACACACTGGGAGGCGACACACTGGGAGACGACACACTGGGAGACGACACAGACGACACGCTGGGAGGCGACACACTGGGAGACGACACACTGGGAGACGACACAGACGACACACTGGGAGACGACACAGACGACACACTGGGAGACGACACAGACGACACACTGGGAGACGACACAGGCGACACCCTGGGAGACGACACGTTGGGAGACGACACAGAAGACACGTTGGGAGACGACACAGACAACACGTTGGGAGACGACACAGACGACACCCTGGGAGACGACACAGACAACACGTTGGGAGACGACACAGACAACACGTTGGGAGACGACACAGACGACACACTGGGAGACGACACAGACGACATACTGGGAGACGACACAGACGACACACTGGGAGACGACACAGACGACACACTGGGAGACGACACGTTGGGAGACGACACAGACAACACGTTGGGAGACGACACAGACGACACGCTGGGAGACGACACAGGCGACACGCTGGGAGACGACACAGATGACACGCTGGGAGACGATACAGACGACACTCTGGGAGACGACACGCTGGGAGACGACACAGACGACACACTTGAAGACGACACAGACGACACGCTGGGAGACGACGCAGACGACACGCTGGGAGACGACGCAGACGACACGCTGGGAGACGACGCAGACGACACGCTGGGAGACGACACATACGACACACTGGGAGACGACACGCTGCCAAACCCCCTGTTTATGCATGAAAAGCGGTTAACACACTACTCACAACTGACGACTTCCGAACACTTCCGGAACAAGTGCTTCGCTCACGTCTTCTGTTCGAACCACAATTCTATAAATGCTTCACCCACGTCCTTTAAATATAAATAATTACCAAGAGAACCTAAACATTTAACCTAGCCTAACCAGTGCCTAATTATGTACAGTATGCTCAGTACATAATAATATTAATTATTATTTGAGAAAATTAAAGTTTTGAATGAATAGCATGTTAAAATTAATGAATGCATCTTTGGGCCGACCGCTGGATGGAATGGTCTTGATCCGAGGACGGGATGCGTTAATGCAGCGCCAAACCTGCTGTTTATGAATAAGAAACGGTATACACAATTGATGGCGTTCGAACATTTCTCGAATATTGCTTCGCTGGCCACCTCTGTTCAAAACGCCAGCTAATAAATTTGTTCACTTACGAACTTCAAATACATATAATCGCGAACAGAACCTTAACACCTAATCTAACTTACGCTAACTGTACTTAGAACTTTAATATATAACAATAATAATAATGTATAAATGAGAGCCAGTTCTACTCAACTGTCTCTAGCAACTCTAACTCACCAACAACGACTTCAGCAGCAAGATGGAAAAAAAATAGACGATGCTTTAGCCTTACCTGACGAACTAGACCAACGTTTCAATCTGAAAAAACTCAGAAGAGCTACTAAGAAAACTAAAAATACAGCTCCAGGCGAGGACAAAATCACATACAAGATACTGGACAAGCTAAGATAAAAGGGCCAAGAAGCCTTCTTGAATCTTATCAACAGAGTATTGGTGAAAAGAACTCGACCACTCTCTTGGAACAGTGCAATTATAGTTTCCATTACAAGCCCCAAATAGGAAATCCAAGACCCATCTCATTAACAAGCTGTCTGGCCAAAACTGCAGAAAGAATGGCTCCTAATCGAGTTCACTGGAAAGCCAATCCACTGCACCAAAATATTTTTGTTTGCAGAAAAGGTGTTGGAACTACAAAATGCCTTATCTCCATCTTGGATCAAATCAATGACAAACCAGGAATCCTTATTTTTTCTGTACGTAGAAAAAGCCTTCCAGCTAGTCAATGCTTCAGCTACACTATGCTACATGATGGCTAAGGATATCAAAGGACACGATATTGCCTTTGCCAAAGGAAGTCTGCTTAACCGAAATGTAAACGTCAAATTTCAAGGTAAAATATCCTCCACAAAGAGGCTGGAAAATGGGATACCGCAGGGAGGAATACTAAACCCCTTCCTCTTGAACTGTCTCATGGAACAGTTCATGAAGCTCAAGTTACCAAAACCCAAACTGCTTAACTATTCTGATTACTTTGTGATCATCAATGGCAAAGGTGCCAGAAAGCATGCACAAAAATGCCAAGACATCTTTACCAGGGAAGCTAAATGCATAGCAGTGAACACTACACTGCTATGATTTGTTCATAGCAGTGAAAATGAACAGCAATACAACCAAAGCAATGGCAGTTAAAATGAGAACTCAAGACATCAGACTCGAAATACAAGGACGCGAAATTGAGTGGGTCACCTCTTATCAATACCTTGGAGTCATAATAGACAGCCAGTTGAAATTCACTCAAGAAATTGAATATTTTCGGCAACATTGTAAAGCCAGAAACTCAGCTTTGCGCTCCCTGACAAGTCTTAGAGATGGTGCATCTCTTTCAGTAATCAAAATGTACTACGTTCAAGCAGTTCGGTCACTCATTGACTATGCTGGTCCTGCTTTTACATCTCTCAGTGATAACCAATGAGAGAAACTGGAAGTGTCTCAAAATGATGCCCTCAGAACAATGCTGTTAGCACCTATATGGACGTGTCGAGAGAATCTAAGAATGGATGTCAACTTACCAGCTCTAGAAAACAGGATCAAACAAAGAATAGCCACCATAACAGCGAGACTCGTTGGAACTACCGCCAGACTGTCAATCAAAAATAGCGTACATAAATCTTTTCTCAAAAACCTCAGTAAACAAGTGCATGGACGGATAATCGGCCAAGATTCTATAGAAAGTGGACTTAAATTTGGACCATTACAAACAAAGGGGATGATAGACCATATTAACACTTTCAGCAGCCTCCTCCATGGACAGAATCGAGTCTAAAGATAATCATTTAAGGATTACCAGTTAAAAAATCAGCATGTGACTCGCAAGGCTCAAAGCAGTCACAGAACAACAAATGAAAACCATCTCAAGACCGACAACCACTCATATCTTCACAGATGGATCAGTTGTTCAAGAAAGAGGTTCTGCTGGGCAGCAATTTACACTAACAACCATGAAGCTTACTGGAGCATATTGAGTGGGTGCTCAACTTTGCAAACAGAATTATATTCCCTGAAAAAGGTCATAAATTATATACTTGAGAATAATTTACTTGATGCCATCATTCATACTGACTTTAAATCTTTGCCCAGGCATTGTTATCCAGCCAGCACAGAGATAATATACAACTCATCACATAAATTCCACATATAGTAAAAGAAGCACACACAATCTAGGGCTGTCACTCACCCTAAATTGGATTGCAAGTCACATTGGCATAGAGGGTAATGAAAAGGTAGACTCACTAGCAAAAGCTGCCACTGCTCTACTTTAACTGTACAGGTTAAAATGCCTCTAAGTTTTTCATACATTAAAGAACAAATCAAGAAGAAAATATTCCCACTATCAAAAGTTGCCACAGAGCCAAAGTAGCAGATGGAGGATCCACTGCGATATGGTATGAACAAGCCACTGGGTACTCCTCTTTCAAGGCAGGCAAAAAGATATCCAGATATGTTGCAGTAGCCATACAAAGACTCAGACCTGGTTACAAGTGCTGCTGGGAGATAATAAACCCAATAGTTAAAGAGTGTCATATCTGTGGAACAGATGCAGAGGCGCCACTATTGCACTACTTACAAGAATGTTAAGCAATTGAAGTCCTGTGCATGAAACTCAACATTAATCCAACGACAGCAGCTGCATTCGATGCAAATTCCCCAGCAACTACAATGATTAGAAAAGCAGTTGAAGAATGGGACACATTAGTGAACATTGTGACTCTATATCCGCCACCAAGATAATGTTATTAAAAGAAGACTAAGACCAGTGCGCTAAAACAAAAGAAACGGGGGGGAAAAAAGGAGGAAACCCCACCTCTATTTAAATCTTTGAACCAAATATTACGGTAACAAGTTAATCGCGAATAACCAAACTCAATTACGGGCTCACTACATTTCGTTCTGAGTAGCTAAATCGAAAACAACAAGTATGACAAGAACCTAAGATCAACAAGATCATCAACAATAAATGAGAACAAACCTCTTTTTAATAACAATACTTCAAAATTGAATCATGAGTCTTGGGAGACGGCAGCTGCTTTAACAAGCTTGGCCTTGATGACGAGTTGAGAAACAGCAGGTCGTGACTCTGGACATTGTTCACAGGTGCAGTTGTTCTCTGGGTCACTGAGTGTGCACTGGTTCGTATTTCACTAGGTTCGAGTGACCGTAGCAGTTATAGTTTCAGTTCTTAATTTTAATTTTAAAGCATATTACCTTCAGGTTAACTCTGCCGATATATGTGGGCTTTTGACGAAATGGCTACGTCACCTATCCCGAGTTAACCATCGCGGGAGACTTAACTTTTAAACTACTCTGTACTGCCAGAGACAGAATGTACAAGCCAGTAGCTCCCAAGATGGCCACTGCCTGGTGTTTTCTTCTATAAAGGGAATACTGCGCCACCTCAGTATTATCCGACTAAACTCACAATGGCCTCGTGACATTATGATGCTCATCATATGATAGGCCTGGTCAGAGACTAGGCCACGGGGACATTCATCCATGATATTAAGGACAGGCGTAAATATAACAGGTATAAAACAGGCATAACATTTAATTCAGCCTGGCAGAAATTATCCAACATCAGAGAGACACTGGGGACTCAACCGAATATTCACATGGTTCACTTATGGACAATCTTATATTAACACTTTCATTGACCACTTATCACAAACACGGGTTTCCAAACAAGGGGAAAACATCGGAGTTCCTCTCGGATTTCTGGATAATCAATATAATAGAATGCACAATCAGCAACAATAATGACCTATAAAGCTGACAGTCAATATAACGTGCACATATTATCTAATCGTGTTGTGTGTGTGGAAACCATCCCTGTGACAAGTGGAACAGTAGTGCTTCCAAACAGATTCTCACCTGTTTACCGTAAACTAGGCCCTCACCTGTTCTAGGTGAGTAACAAGGAGAGTAAATCTCTGGATCATCAGTACTTGACGTGAAGACAGTCAATAACAAGATAATAAATTAGAGTTTAGTACTTACAGAAAGCTGAGCATACACTCATACACACTCATGCAATGCTTCATTCACACATCTCGCATATGATCTGAGCGCCTGGTCTTCATGATCGTCGGTCTCAAAGAAGTTTTGCTGGTCCTCCTACAATGACCGCATGTAGTATCTATGTAGATCACCCATAGGGCTTCTGGCAGAGAGACGTGCTTGTGGGACTCGTACTAAGTGGTGTTTGAGGTGTACACAGGTGCTGAATGCGTCATATGCACACAAGGCAGCAGCGGGTTGCAACTCTATTTGGTTCACAGACTATTTGGCTGTCCACTGGTTCATACATAGTTTAGCTTTCATCGGTTCTAGCAACAGAGAGGCGGGTATAGTTTCGGTTCTTCCTTCTCCACTTTTGTTTTAAGACATTTCACCTTCAGTTCCCTTCTGGATCACACAACGTTCACGTGACACCTTTCTCTATCTTTACCTATATAGATGACTGAGATACTGCATGATCAAGGGTTACTATTCTGACTGTTCTACTATACTGTATGTGCTCCAGAGGTATTTTTTGTGCGGTCACTCAACTAAATTGATGAAAATAATTTTATCGCGGGATTCTGGTTGCTTGAAAGAACTCTTCGACGAATTTGGCCACTGTAGCAATTTGACATACAGAATTGAACAATATATATCTAGTTAGTAGGTGATAGTCGAAACATGTCTATTGTAGCGGCTGTCCTTGGTGTGAATACTTGTCTTGAAGCCCACCCTAGTCAGTTCCTGTCCTTTATCTCTAACATTAGCTAACCAGCACTCAGCTGTCTGGCAGCTTCTAGATTGATGATTGATAAAGATTTGGCCACCCCAAGTGTGGCACGGGCATGAATAGTCAGGAAGTGGAGGCAGTTTGAAGCCATTACCAGTATCTGTAACTGATACTGTAGATCTGAGGACGAATAGGGATCTGGAAAGTGGGACAGTCGGAAGTATAGTCTGGAGAGGAAACTTCTGCGTTGCAGAGACTGAGACTAGAATCAGGGCTCAAGCCAGCAAGGGCGAGAACTTTTGGATACATAGCAGAATCAAATACACCGCACAAGGCACCAGGGTGGGGGAGGCTAAGAGGACCGAGCAACAGCCAGAAGTCCTTGTTTGATATTCCACTACGGTTTCGAGGCATACTAGTTTGTTATAAGCTCAACCATGGTCATCTGGGTTTCTGACCTCATGGTTACGTCACCTATTCTGAGTCGACCATCGCGGGTGACGTGACCTCAGTATTTCCAGAGGCAGAATGTACCAGCAAGTAGCTCCCAAGATGTTTGCTGCCTGGTGTTCTCTTCTACAATGGAAATGCTGTGCCTCTTCTATCTCTTTACTAAGTAAACCCACGATGGCCTTTGTGATATCAAAATGCTAAAGAGATCAAAGAAGCTAGGTTATAGTCCAGCAATATGGAAGACAGACCACGTGCACTTGCCCTGTGAACTGTGGGGACACCTGGTCAGTTTCCTGACTTTAGTGCACATGCAGAAGCTGTGCAATATGCTACTTGAAGTCAGCAGTGGGAAATTGAGACCACACTTTCAGACCGTATTGCACATTTTTTTACTTCTTTCATAAATTAAATATTACCTGTGTTATGGAGCCCCATCCAATTTCTCCCCAGATCCGGCTTTAAGAGTCCTATCTTCTGGCCCTGCTGATTCTCTGAGATACAGGGAGTCTGTTGATATATGTGGCGACCTGATCGGCCGCCTGATAAAGGAGAAATTTGCATTTGTAAGTTTGTAGGCTAAAGGGAAAGTAGCACCCTTGAGACAAAGAAAATGGCGCCCCCTGCCTGCAAATTCACCATTTTGTGGATGACGCCAGCCGGCTGCGGATTGGCTGGCTTAGGTCACGTGCCACGGACAACCAATCAGCGCCCGCCATGACGTCACCGAGTGCCCCTGGCGGCACCAGTGGAGGTGGCATTAGAGTTGACATGACTGTGGACGCGAGAGGTCGTGCGTCGATCATCTCTCAAGGATTGGAGGCTCTGGGGGTCTCTCTCAGTGGATGGAGGAAAGCCATCGCAGCCCACTATTGTTACTGGAGACCCTGTGCTTCTGGGAAGCAAGAAGGAACCAAGTTTATTGAGCAAAGAAGTGCCAAAACTTGAGGAATCGGTCGGCGACGACACTGGAGGGCGCCGCCTTTCGTCCGAGGGTCTGGATGATGTGGCAGGCAGACCTGCTGTGACTAGGTCACATTCACTGAGAATGTTGGAGGGACGGCACATTTCCTAGGACAATGAGCAACGCCCTGTGGAAAGAACGAGTGTGTGTATACAGTGATTAGCATAGTGCCCACTTGGTGAACCAGGATTAGGATATCGGAAACTCTGGGAGTGACTCGGCGAGGACGCGACAGCTTCACGACACTTGAGAACTTGTAACTTGTTACCGAGTCGTCAAGGACCGACTCAGGAAGCGTGGGAGACTCATACCTTCGAGGGACAGGCGTCGTGAGCCAACAACGTAAAGGTAGATCAATTTTTCCTCCCATTACCCCTTGTTGAGTAGGCTAGATAGGCCACGATATTTATATATGCATGTTGCAGTATAACATTGGTATATTAGTATTAGGGTAGGTAGCCTGAGTCTTCCTTCACTCTTGCGTGGGTGTAGACTGGAATAGCTAATAGCAGTTTCCCCATGATTGACTGAAGGGGCTCCCAGGGTGAATCAATGGAACCTCTGGGGTGGAACCGAAGACCTGCGGAGGTGGGTACTACGTGATCCTCTCCTGTGGGACCAAGTGACTCTGGTGACTCACGTGAGTCAGAGAGATTGAGTACTCTGTCTCCTGAGCCCCTAGCAGCCACCCTTTCTAGTATAGCTCCAGCCCAACCCCCGTAACACCTGGTAGTTGTGAATGCTGGATCTGGATGGTGATGGCCCTTGAAGAGAGCAAAGTAGTGTAACGTTGTTAGTGTGACACATTTAAATTTTTTAATTTTATTCAAAACTTCACAATATTAAATAATAGCTTCCATACAGTGCTTTTGTTCCTGGACGAAATTCAGCAAAAAAATCAAAAGTTTGCAGGCTAATTTAAGCCTTGTTTACTTTATTAGGCACATTACAATATGCTGAATTACCAAGTGGAGGTAGATATAACTAGCGAGTTAACGCAGCAGACAGCAAGTCAGCTGAACGGGAATGTGGAACAAGGTAATAAGCGAGAGAGAGAGCACCTAGTTGCATATCAGCCAGCCGGGACTGTGGATCAAGACACAGGTGCGCTGCTGGGTTTAATCAGTCCTCGACACGTTGGCTAATTCTCCCTCACATGTCCCCGTGATGGACCACACTGCACACGGTGTTCCGGTCCATGTTGAGCTTGCTGGTCATGGAGGAGATGCTCCTGATGCTGATGGCGATGCTCCTGATGCTGATGGCGATGCTCCTGATGCTGATGGCGATGCTCCTGATGCTGATGGCGATGCTCCTGATGCTGGTAGCGATGCTCCTGATGCTGGTAGTGATGCTCCTGATGCTGGTAGTGATGCTGCTGATGCTGGTAGTGATGCTCCTGATGCTAGTAGTGATGTTCCTGATGCTAGTAGTGATGTTCCTGATGCTAGTAGTGATGTTCCTGATGCTGGTAGCGATGCTCCTGATGCTGGTAGTGATGCTCCTGATGCTAGTAGTGATGCTCCTGATGCTAGTAGTGATGTTCCTGATGCTGGTAGCGATGCTCCTGATGCTGGTAGTGATGCTCCTGATGCTGGTAGTCATGCTCCTGATGCTGGTAGCGATACTCCTGATGCTGGTAGCGATGCTCCTGATGCTGGTAGCGATGCTCCTGATGCTGGTAGTGATGCTCCTGATGCTGGTAGTGATGCTCCTGATCCTGGTAGCGATGCTTCTGATGCTGGTAGCGATGCTCCTGATGCTGGTAGTGATGCTCCTGATGCTGGTAGCGATGCTCCTGATGCTGGTAGTGATGCTCCTGATCCTGGTAGCGATGCTTCTGTTGCTGGTAGCGATGCTCCTGATGCTGGTAGCGATGCTCCTGATGCTGGTAGTGATGTTCCTGATGCTGGTAGTGATGTTCCTGATGCTGGTAGTGATGTTCCTGATGCTAGTAGCGATGCTCCTGATGCTAGTAGCGATGCTCCTGATGCTGGTAGTGATGCTCCTGATGCTAGAAGCGATGCTCCTGATGCTAGTAGCGATGCTCCTGATGCTGGTAGCGATGCTCCTGATGCTGGTAGCGATGCTCCTGATGCTGGTAGTGATGCTCCTGATGCTAGTAGCGATGCTCCTGATGCTAGTAGCGATGCTCCTGATGCTGGTAGTGATGCTCCTGATGCTGGTAGTGATGCTCCTGATGCTGGTAGTGATGCTCCTGATGCTGGTAGCGATGCTCCTGATGCTGGTAGCGATGCTCCTGATGCTAGTAGCGATGCTCCTGATGCTAGTAGCGATGCTCCTGATGCTAGTAGCGATGCTCCTGATGCTGGTAGTGATGCTCCTGATGCTGGTAGTGATGCTCCTGATGCTGGGAGTGATGCTCCTGATGCTGGTAGCGATGCTCCTGATGCTGGTAGCGATGCTCCTGATGCTGGTAGTGATGCTCCTGATGCTGGTAGTGATGTTCCTGATGCTAGTAGCGATGCTCCTGATGCTAGTAGCGATGCTCCTGATGCTGGTAGTGATGCTCCTGATGCTAGAAGCGATGCTCCTGATACTAGTAGCGATGCTCCTGATGCTGGTAGCGATGCTCCTGATGCTGGTAGCGATGCTCCTGATGCTGGTAGTGATGCTCCTGATGCTGGTAGTGATGCTCCTGATGCTGGTAGTGATGCTCCTGATGCTGGTAGCGATGCTCCTGATGCTGGTAGCGATGCTCCTGATGCTAGTAGCGATGCTCCTGATGCTAGTAGCGATGCTCCTGATGCTAGTAGCGATGCTCCTGATGCTGGTAGTGATGCTCCTGATGCTGGTAGTGATGATCCTGATGCTGGTAGTGATGTTCCTGATGCTGGTAGCGATGATCCTGATGCTGGTAGCGATGCTCCTGATGCTGGTAGCGATGCTCCTGATGCTGGTAGCGATGCTCCTGATGCTAGTAGCGATGCTCCTGATGCTAGTAGCGATGCTCCTGATGCTGGTAGTGATGTTCCTGATGCTAGTAGCGATGCTCCTGATGCTAGTAGCGATGCTCCTGATGCTGGTAGCGATGCTCCTGATGCTGGTAGTGATGCTCCTGATGCTGGTAGTGTTGCTCCTGATGCTGGTAGCGATGATCCTGATGCTAGTAGCGATGCTCCTGATGCTGGTAGCGATGCTCCTGATGCTGGTAGTGATGCTCCTGATGCTGGTAGCGATGCTCCTGATGCTGGTAGCGATGCTCCTGATGCTGGTAGCGATGCTCCTGATGCTGGTAGCGATGCTCCTGATGCTGGTAGCGATGCTCTTGATGCTGGTAGCGATGCTCCTGATGCTGGTAGTGATGCTCCTGATGCTGGTAGTGATGCTCCTGATGCTGTTAGCGATGCTCCTGATGCTGGTAGTGATGCTCCTGATGCTGGTAGTGATGCTCCTGATGCTGGTAGTGATGCTCCTGATGCTGGTAGCGATGCTCCTGATGCTGGTAGTGATGCTCCTCATGCTGGTAGTGATGCTCCTCATGCTGGTAGCGATGCTCTTGATGCTGGTAGCGATGCTCCTGATGCTGGTAGTGATGCTCCTGATGCTGGTAGTGATGCTCCTGATGCTGGTAGTGATGCTCCTGATGCTGGTAGCGATGCTCCTGATGCTGGTAGTGATGCTCCTGATGCTGGTAGTGATGCTCCTGATGCTGGTAGCGATGCTCCTGATGCTGGTAGCGATGCTCCTGATGCTGGTAGCGATGCTCCTGATGCTGGTAGTGTTGCTCCTGATGCTGGTAGTGATGCTCCTGATGCTGGTAGTGATGCTCCTGATGCTGGTAGTGATGCTCCTGATGCTGGTAGTGATGCTGTGATACTGGTGATGCTTATAGTGATGCTACTTATCCTGGTAGCAATGCTGCAAACGATGCTAGTAATGCTGGTAGCGATGCTGCTGGTGGTGGATGCGGTGCTGGTGATGCCAATAGCAATGCTGCTGATGTTGATAGCGATGTTGCTAGCAGATGATGGGGATGTTGCTGATGCTGATAGCGATGTTATTGATGCCGAAAGCGATGTTATTGATGCCGATAGCGATGTTATTGATGCCGATAGCGATGTTATTGATGCCGATAGCGATGCTGATGATGATAATAGCGATGCTGCTGATGTTGATACCGATGTTGCTGATGTTCACAGCGATCTTTTTCTTAATATTGCTGAGATTCGCTTTAAAGCTTTATGGAAAATTGCGGTCGCAACCAACATCTTTATCATATGATAATAATGCTGTTATTAGTTGTGATGTTACTCCTGCTAATGTTAGTAGTATTGATGTTACTTGTAATGATGTTACTGCTGCTGCTGCTGCTGTTACTTGTGAGGATGTTACTGCTGCTGCTGTTACTTGTGAGGATGTTACTGCTGCTGCTGTTACTTGTGAGGATGTTACTGCTGCTGCTGCTGTTACTTGTGATGATGTTACTGCTGCTGCTGCTGTTACTTGTGATGATGTTACTGCTGCTGCTGCTGTTACTTGTGATGATGTTACTGCTGCTGCTGCTGTTACTTGTGATGATGTTACTGCTGCTGCTGCTGTTACTTGTGATGTTACTGCTGCTGCTGCTGTTACTTGTGATGATGTTACTGCTGCTGCTGCTGTTACTTGTGATGATGTTACTGCTGCTGCTGCTGTTACTTGTGATGATGTTACTGCTGCTGCTGTTACTTGTGATGATGTTACTGCTTATAGTCTTACAGTAGCAGTTGGTGTTACTGATACAACATCTGATGCTGCTTGTTTTGATGTTCAGACTTTTGATGTTGCTGTTGCTTTGCCTAGCAGTGAATTTATTATTTTTTATGTTTCTGATTTTTTTCTGTGCTGCTATTACTATTGATGATGATGATACCAACGCAGAGACACGATCCAAACACCCTGACTTTGAAGCACAAGCTCCTGATGTTATACAAGTAGCAAGAACAAACGCTACTTATGTTGGTGCATGTAATACCCCATCAATATCCCCTATGCTATGACATTCATCCACTTGTTCTGTACCACCTCGCCCAAAGATAATACAAGCCTGTGCAAAAGCATGGTAAATAAGTCTTTGGGAATATAAGGAGTGACCTTGCGAAACGCATCCTCTTGGCGTCAGACCAAAAATAAAAGTGTGGAAATGAACATTGTTGAGTTAATTTTTAAACTTCACCCAACTGTGAAGAAAAATATAAGAAATATAAAAACATTTGCGTTAAAATCATTAATCTTACTCTTTCAGTCATATTCAACAATATTATATATAATTATATATATTAGTATATTTTGGTAGCAGTCATTCCTGTACACATATATTATTAAATATGACCGAAAAAGTAAGATTAAAAATTCTAACACGAATTTTCTCAATATTTCTTATGTTTCTTTTCACTGTCGATGCTAATTGAAAAATCAATTCTCCAAAATTCATTTTTATTTCTAGTCTGACACGACACTTGAACGCGTTTCGTAATAACTTATTACATTTTCAAAGATTTTACTTTACACACACACAACTATAACCTGCAAACACTAAACAGAGTTTAAACAGCTTTCATTTTATACCTGCATTTGGCAGGTGTTGCAATTCACACAACACAGAATTATGCTCAAATGCCTCCTTCTGCTCCTGCAGATGTCTGACATCAGGTACCTGTGTAAAAATGTCGTCAACATACCTGCAGTATATGGCCGGTTTCAAGTTCATATCAACTAAGACCTTTTGTTCGATGGTACCCATGTAGAAGTTCGCAAACAGGACACCTAGGGGAAAACCCATGGCAACCCCATCTACTTGCTTATACATGTGCCCATCCGGGCTCAAGAAGGGTGCCTCTTTAGTACAAGCTTGGAGTAGTTTCCTTAGAATGTTTTCTGGTATGTCAAGAGGAGTACAGGCCGGATCACGATACACTCTGTCCGCTATCATCCCGATTGTTTCATCCACAGGTACGTTGGTAAACAGTGATTCTACGTCCAACGAGGCTCTTATCCCTGTGGCCAGTGTTCCCCACAGTAAGTCAACAAACTCCTTTGGAGACTTGAGGCTGAAGGTGCAAGGGACATAAGGAGTCAGCAAGCCGTTGAGTCGCTTCGCCAGTCTGTACGTGGGTGTGGGTATCTGGCTAATGATTGGCCGAAGTGGGTTCCCAGGTTTATGTGTCTTGACATTTCCATACGCATATCCAGGCTTCTATTCCCCAATAATCTCTCGCAGGTGGAGTCCGGATTTCTTGGCGTTCACAGTTTCGATCAATTTGTTGACCTTTGCCTTCAATTCGGCTGTAGTGTCCTTCGTTACCCTTTGGAATTTAGTTTGGTCAGAGAGTATGAGGTTAATTTTCGCCAGATATTCGTCTTTTTTAAAAATGACGTATATTGGCGACTTGTCACCTCTTCTGACGACTATCTCCTTGTTTTCACGATGGCTCTTAGCTGCCTCTTTGAGCTCGGGGGACAGTATGGTGCTTCTGTAATTGCCTCGATTCTTTCCTCCTTCCGCAATAAGTTCTGCTTGTAAGGTATTGCAGGTATATTGACTACATTTTTACACAGGTACCTGATGTCAGACATCTGCAGGAGCTGAAGGAGGCATTTCAGCGGAATTCTGTGTTGCGTTTCACTTACAAGATGGAGAAGGATGGGAAGCTGCCCTTTCTAGATGTAACAGTCATGGAAAGGAGCGGAGGTTTTCACACTGCAGTCTACACTAAGGAAACAAACATAGGAATGTGCCTCAATGCCAACAGTGACTGCCCAGACAAGAACAAGAGGAGTGTCGTTAACGCTTATGTCGACCGTGCTCTCAGCCACATCTCAGGATAGAAGCAAGTCGATGACGAACTATGTAGGGCAAGGCAGGTCCTAGTCAACAACGGCTTCTCCAATGGTTTCGTTGAAGACATCATAAGAAGGAAAGTGAAACGCCATGCAACCTCTGAAGATTGCTGGTGTTGACTACGTGATGTGTAGTGCCTCGCAGATGTCAAGCCGCCTGCTATCGCTGTATCTATCGATGATTTCTGTGTTGTTAGCTAAGATTTCTCTGGTGATGGTTTGGTTGTGGGAAGAGATTATATGTTCCTTAATGAAGCCCTGTTGCTTATGCATCGTTAATCGCCTGGAAAGAGATGTTGTTGTCTTGCCTATATACTGAGTTTTTTTAGGCTTACAGTCCCAAAGAGGCCATTTGAAGGCATAGACGACGTTGGTCTCTTTTAAAGCGTTCTGCTTTGTGTCTGGAGAGTTTCTCATGAGTAGGCTGGTCGTTTTTTTGGTTTTATATTAAATCGTCAGTTGTATCTTCTGATTTTTGTCTGTAGGGATAACGTTTCTATTAACAATATCTTTCAGGACCCTTTCCTCCGTTTTATGAGCTGTGGAAAAGAAGTTCCTGTAAAATAGTCTAATAGGGGGAATAGGTGTTGTGTTAGTTAACTCTTCAGAGGTTGCATGGCATTTCACTTTCCTTCTAGACTAGAAATAAAAATGAATTTTGGAGAATTTATTTTTCAATTACCATCAACAGTGAAAAGAAGCATAAGAAAGATCGAGAAAATTCGTGTTAGAATTATTAATCTTACTTTTTCGGTCATATTTAATAATATATGTCTACATGAAAGACTGCTACCAAAATATACTATATATATATATATATATATATATATATATATATATATATATATATATATATATATATATATATATATATATATATATATATATATATATGTCGTACCTAATAGCCAGAACGCACTTCTCAGCCTACTATTCAAGGCCCGATTTGCCTAATAAGCCAAGTTTTCATGAATTAATGTTTTTTCGTCTACCTAACCTACCTAACCTAACCTAACCTAGCTTTTTTTGGCTACCTAACCTAACCTTACCTATAAATATAGGTTAGGTTAGGTTAGGTAGGGTTGGTTAGGTTCGGTCATATATCTACGTTAATTTTAACTCCAATAAAATAAAATTGACCTCATACATAGAGAAAAGGGTTGCTTTATCATTTCATAAGAAAAAAATTATAGTAAATATATTAATTCAGGAAAACTTGGCTTACTAGGCAAATCTGGCCTTGAATAGTAGGCTGAGAAGTGAGTTCTGGCTACTAGGTACGACATATATATATATATATATATATATATATATATATATATATATATATATATATATATATATATATATATATATGTCGTACCTAGTAGCCAGAATGCACTACTCAGCCTACTATGCAAGGCCCGATTTGCCTAATGAGCCCAGTTTTCCTGAAATAATCTATTTTCTCTAATTTTTTTCTTATGAAATGATAAAGCTACCCATTTCATTATGTATGAGGTCAATTTTTTTTATTGGAGTTAAAATTAACGTAGATATATGACCGAACCTAACCAACCCTACCTAACCTAACCTATCTCTATAGGTAAGGTTAGGTTAGGTAGCCGAAAAAGTTAGGTTACATTAGGTTAGGTAGGTTAGGTAGTCGAAAAGCAATTAATTCATGTAAACTTGGCTTATTAGGAAAATTGGGCCTTGCATAGTAGGCTGAGAAGTGCTTTCTGGCTACTAGGTACGACATATATATATATATATATATATATATATATATATATATATGTCGTACCTAGTAGCCAGAACTCACTTCTCAGCCTACTATTCAAGGCCCGATTTGCCTAATAAGCCAAGTTTTCCTGAATTAATATATATACTATAATTTTTTTCTTATGAAATGATAAAGCTACCCTTTTCACTATGTATGAGGTCAATTTTTTTTTATTGGAGTTAAAATTAACGTAGATATATGACCGAACCTAACCAACCCTACCTAACCTAACCTAACCTATATATATAGGTAAGGTTAGGTTAGGTAGCCAAAAAAAGCTAGGTTAGGTTAGGTTAGGTAGGTTAGGTAGACGAAATAACATTAATTCATGAAAACTTGGCTTATTAGGCAAATCGGGCCTTGCATAGTAGGCTGAGAAGTGAGTTCTGGCTACTAGGTACGACATATATATATATATATATATATATATATATATATATATATATATATATATATATATATATATATATATATATATATATACACACTAGCAGTACCCGGCCATGCGTTGCTGAGCCACAGCAACCTTCCCTGTCCCCAAGTCCTCCCCACCATTCCCCCCCTCATCCGTCTCCTTGGCCTCCCAACCATTCCCCACTTCACCATTCCCTCTTCCTTCCCATCATGCCTCACTTCC